GAGTGACTGTGGAGAAGAGACACAGAAATACTGTCAACTGTATAGTCCAACAAAGGGATATCAACCAGAGCAGAGAGACACAGATGCATGTTTCAGGTAATGTTTTCTTCTGAAATTTGCAAAGAAATTAAATGCAAATCTAAATTCATTTAAAATTTGATATAAGAAACAATACTGGATAATTGATATAATGATAAATTCAAACTGTTACAAACTGACTTTGTCTGTATGGGGCATGAGAGGTGTAATACAAGGGCAATAGCACAAGCTGTTTATAAGCTCAGACTACAAACAATAAAGTGTGTGTCAAAATTTATTTAGCGGTTTTTAAAAATTCTTACAGTTTTACATGATTAAATTATGTAGGAGTGGAAAAGGAAGCAAATTAATCTCCAGGGTCTCCAAGGCCAAAACAACAAACAAAAACTCCAAGGTTCACATAAAAAAGAAATGGCAGAGAACCCCTACCAAACGTCCACTAACTTCTAAATAGCATGACTAAATCGTAAATTTGGCTTCCAAAGCACAAATCAAAGAAAGCAAGAACAGCACTAATGTTTTCCAGGACTCAGTAGCCAAAAGACAAAGAGAGTAACACACTTGCTGCTGGGGGGATTATGCTGCTCCACAAGTGATCTTGATGCTGCTCAGCTGTGTCAATCAGGTGTAGAAACCTGGAACAGAGAGCGAGGGAGAGAGCAACTGTCTTGCAGGAAGAGGCCAAAAGGTCAGTGGATGTAACACAAACCAATCCAATATCTGACAGTTGATGAAGTTACTTCATAATTGATGTTTGGCATTAAAGAAAACCACCCAGTGAGGCTGAGTATTTCTGAACTGAAGAGGGACGAGTTTTCCAGTCTGTGAAACATTGACTGGCTGTGATTTCTAGACCATCTGGTAGCAGTGCCTTAAAAATTGTCTAGATTTTGAAGAGAAAATCATTTTTGTGGTCTGAAACAACTCTGAAAACCATTTTCAGTCAACACAGTTCATTTCTGCATCGAAATAACATCTGAGCTCATTAAACATATATTGAAGAGAAGTGGGAAACTGTACTGCTGTTTTCAGCACACAGTCCAAAGTAATGTAAAGTGATGTATGTGGTAGCTTGGACATCTGTGAAAGCCAGCCAGTCGGTACATAATGATACATACTGGTTTTGGAGTAACATCAGCTGCCGTCTTTGTCAGGGAAGATCCTTCATGTTTCAACAGGTTCTCTTTGTGGTATTTCTTTTAAAGTATAGTCTCTAAGTGTCTCATAAAATGATTATCTGTTTTATTTACAATTTGAATGCATGTCTGAGCATTATTGGAAGTTATTATGAATTTAATTATCTTGTCTTTTTAATTTTAGGTGATTGTGTTGCAGTTCCACCTTCTTCTGCCCTCCGTGTCAGTATTGTTTTGGCAGTTTTTCTCATTTGTACTTGTACAACAATCGTTGTTCTGTGGATATGGAGACAAAACAAAATCAAAGGTAATCATATTGGTCTATCTGCTAGGTGTCACCAAATCTGTACTAACTCAAGTTTCTAACAACTAAAATCACCTTGATTAACAACTTAATCAAGGTGTGTGTACCATTGTTCATCAGACAACTTTTACATAACTAACTCTGTACTTATGCAGAGAAAAAGAGGCAAACTGAGGATGAAGCTGAGGAGAAAGAGAAAGAACAGCTGTTGGCAGAAAACAAGAAGTCTGAAGAACTACAGCAGAAAGAGGAAGAGCTGAAAGACCTGGAGGAGCTGGTTAATATACTGATTGAACAGGAAAACGAACTGAAGAAAGTGAAAAATGAACTCAAACAACAAAGGGATATGGTGGATGGTGAGGTGGAGGATATTGAAAACAAGCTCAAGTCAGTGGATAAGAACACAGAAAGTGACAGAGCAAAGGGATACATGGATCTGAAAGAAATAATAACAGAAAGCAAAAACAAATTACTAGAGAAAAAAGTAGCAAATTCAGAGCTGCAAGCAAACATTGAAAACCGTCTTCTTAGAACGCAGCACATACATGATAAAATGACCCAAAGAAAACCGGAAGTGGAGAAACAACTGGCAGAGTTACAGAAACAGAAAGATGAGATTAAGAAGACACTTAATTTAGAGCAAAATCAGGAAACTTTAAACGTTTAGAAAAATTCTCAAACCTCATGTAGAGAGGTTTGAAAAGTACTTCTTGTATCTGCTGATGGTACGTACCGCCAGCCTGTCCTTCCATGATGGCTCATCTCATCCCCTTGTTTCTCAGGTGTCTGCTACCTGAGGTATTCACTAAGCACATCATCTGTTGTGGCCATCTTCCTGATGTACTCATGGATGTTTGTTGTCTCATCCTGGACCGTGGTTCTGCCACTCATTAATGCACCTTTCTTTGGTTTAGCGTACAGACTCAGGGTGATGGATTTGGGGTGAATCAGAATTAGAATAGTTTATTAATCCTTAATTAGACTATGTGCGTCCTCCTCCAAGATAATAAGAACTGTAACAGACTGAAATTAAATAATACAATATTTAACAAAGAAATAGCTCTAATATATACAAATATACAGATTATAAATATCCAGAATATTACAGGGATTAAATATGTATGGTTTTACTCTAAACTGTAAAGTGTAACTGTAACCCCATGGATGGTAAAGAGCTTCCTTGTCTTGATGTCAGTGGCTTTTATCTCTGCCTTTGGCCAGCTTATTATCCCACCTGAGTACCTGATCACAGGTGAGATACAGTGTTTAGGTGTTGATTGCCTGGATCTTGTTCTTCATATTCAGCTGACTCTTCAGGTCTTACCTGACTCTCTGCAGGTATTTCACTGTCACAGCTTTCCTGGCAGCCTCTGAGGTTCCCATGTGTATGGGCTCAAATTGTGGTCATAAATATTTTGTACTTGTAAATCAGAATGTGTAGTTGTGAGTTTTGTAACCTTCAAATGAAAATATATGAAAATATGTTTTTGCATCTATAAATTTTAATTTATGTGTGTAAAAAAGATTTGTGTTTGTAAAACATATTTACACAAGTTAGATATTTTTTTTTGGTAAGGTCTGCTTACATATACAGAGCAAAAAAACTGTGTAAAACTCACGTTTCACGGCTGCGTGTAAGTTTCAACTTACAAGTACGAATTTTTACCCGATTTTTCGTCTTTTCTTCAATTTAAACTCCAGTTTAAATTTATAAAGTAATTTCCACCTCATGTTCTGTCAAATATTTACATCGTCTCCAAGATCCAACTGTGATAAACATTGTTCAGTCAGTGTGATTGATAATAATAGGACAAATGGTCATCGATCAGTGTGTAATATGCAGTCCTGTGTAATATAAATATATACATACACACACATACAAACACACACACATATCCCCAACTAGCCATCCTCTCTGAGACTGATTCAAGACTTATGTTATTATTGTGTGATATTATTGGTTATTATTGGGTGACAGCATCTCAAAATACTATCACCCTCAACATCTTCTCAGATTCATTTCATGCAAAAACAGAGCAAAGTAAAAATCTGTGTCGTTTTAACCCAGTGTTAAGTTAGTCTTTTGATATTATGTGATATTCAGTTACATCTATTGGTTGTTTTGTTAGAACGTGCCCTACAATAATTGCAAGTATTACAATGTCACTGATTTACGCCTGTTTCACGACAGTCAACTGGGGAGTAAACTCTGGTGGGAGGGGCTGTAAACTCACAAGGCCTGTGGCAGTGGCAGAGTAAGCTTGTGTGAGCCAGCCATGATATCTGTACAAGCAGTAGCCTTAAGATATTCACTATTCATTCTCCTGCTAGTGGTGGAGGAGAGTTTTCTAATGGGGAAGAGGCCCTGCTGTCCTCCCGTCTTAATGGTGCCGCTGAGAGATTAGAGGCGGCCACATATTCTTCTGGAACATCGAGTTTTGGACCCAAGTAATCACAGACACGTTTCACAATTTATTCAGGGTCTGACAGCAGTTCACCATCTGTGTCCAATATCTAATACAAATTTCTGGATTGGAGCATGTATGTTCTTGAGAACTGACCGTGTCCTCCCCACACCAGGGGAAACCATAGGGTCCTGATGCATCGGAGATTTAAAAAAAACACACTCCTGTGAAGAGGAGGCCAAACTCATCTGCCAAGACAGCAGCGTTTGCAAGAGACTTAACTTTTTGTTCATTTAAATAAAATACCACATGCTCTAGCAAGCATTTCTTAAAACCCCCCAAAAGCACTAGATACCTCAGCTGTCCAAAATCTTTGACTTGCTGACACCATTTATCAAAAAGCAACCGTTTCTCACGTGCAAACTTCTTATATATCTGGTTGTCCCTTTTCCCACAATGTAAGAATTTCTCTTGGTACGCTTCAGGCACCAATTCAAAAGCAAGCAATACTGTAGCCCTAACCACGTCATAATCCAAGCTTTGGTCCACTAAGAGGCTAGCACACACCTCCTGAGCTTTACACACAAGCCTAAACTGCAGCAGCAAGGCCCAAACCTCCTTCGGCCAGTTCAAAGCCTCATTACATCCTCAGCCAATGGTACGGCTCCACCTGGAACTTACATAGGTACAAACAAAAAGAATGAATAACGCCACCCTCAGGTGTGAGGAGCACAAACAACACACAACATCATGGGCCATAACAGTTATTCTTTGTTAAACTAACATATTGGTTACATCTTCTGAACTGCTTGAGTCAGATAATGGGTCTTGTTTATCTTTGGTTACTTGATATTCTAAAGAATGATACAGACCTCGACACAGGCTACATTTGGACACGCACCATTTACACATGCCTCAGAGCTTCAGTGTCAGACGTAACATCATTACCCCCACCCATTGTCTGACTGGTTGACCTAGCAACGTGCAGCAATAACCCCGACTGTATCATCTGTGATCAGAGAGCTGTAAAATACTATTGTATATCAAAGGCTGTGATTTTATGATAGTTGGAGCAGTTCCTTGTACCAAAGATCACACAGACGGTCAAAGTTCACACTTCCACTTTTCAAGCTCAGCACAGCCGAAGATCCTGTGTAGCATTTTGAACGTAGGTGCAAACTCACTCAGAGAAACAACTGGTAAGTGTATAAAGTTACATAAATATGATTCTATTTTAATCTTAACTGTACTTTTGTTGTAGTTCTAATTTGATAAACGTAAATTTAAAACTAGTTCTCTTGATTTATACTGTTGTCCGAGTATTTGTTCAGTAAGCTTTCATTAAATTGTGTTTCTTCTGTTAGCCATTGTAAAAACAACACTCTCAACCAGTTTTTTTCTTAATTGGGCAGCAGTTCGGATCTCTTTTTACTTGCTTGTCTTAATCTGCCTTTACTTTTTGCTGTTAATGTATCACCAGTGCTGGACTTTGTGATCAAGTGTATAATTATTCAAGACACCACACTCACACACAGCAAGAACAAAAGACCAAATGAAAGGGGGGAAAAAAGATTGCACCAAGGGGAAGATCTGTGGTTGCAACATATTTTCCCACAAACCTCAAATAGGAATGGAAATAACACTGTTGGGAAATGTTGCAATTAAGATAATTAGTGTTTCCCTGCTGATTTTAAATTGCATTTGGCACTAACAACAGAATAAAAGGCCTAGAACTGTGACCCCAAAAAAAGCAATTAAAAGTGGAGCCGTAAGACAAGAAAAACCTGTGCATCTATGTGCCTTAGATAACTACAATACCATGATAATATATTAGCTAGATCACTAAGTTATGTGGAATGATCTGTTTTATGTTGTAAATTGTTGCTGACTTAAGAGAAGTAATTAGCAAATTCAAATTTTTTTAAACAAGTAATCTCACAGACCTTATTTTACGTTTTATTGTTTTACTACTCATTTCAGTGCGGTACTTATTTATATTTACGCACTTACAGTAGTAACCAGAATAGCACAAATACATTTGACTAATTTGACTGTTGATTGTATTTTAGGGGAGCTGTCTCTACTGATATAATATGGTCTGATATCTAGGAAGTGTATGCACAATTTAAATTATGATAATTCACTGAATTTTTAACTGATCTTTGACAGAATGCTTACTACTGAATATACAAACTTGATATCACAGTAATTTAATATTTAAGGTCAACTCACTCTGTGCAATCAGGTTTGAAGTATGTTCTTCTTCCATGGTTCTTTTCTTTCTATTTCCAGAGAACCAGGATGTTTCCCCAGTATGGCCAGCTCATCTTGAAACCTCAGTTATGTTGTTTGTTTTTTCACCATGCTGTGATTCTGCTCCTTCTGATAGATATTAAGACAGGTAACTTCTACACAAACCTCAACTAATTTGAATACTTTAAACTCAATATAAAGTTCAACGAGGTTTGAAGATATTTCATAATTTTGCACATATACATCAGCACAATAGAAATAAAATGAAACAATCAAGAGTCAGCTGCAAAGAATCCACAAACATCAATGTGACTGTAAGATATAAACTTTGTCCTGTGCTTTTCAGGTCAGTCTGAGACAGTAACACCATCTCAAACAATAATCACATTAGTTGGTGAGGATGTCATCTTACCATGCCACCTAGAACCTCCATCAGACGCTGTTTCTGAGATTCTGGAGTGGGGGAGACCTGACTTGGATCCCAGATTTGTCCATGTATGGTACGAGGGCCAAAACCATCTGGTTAATCAAAACCCATCTTACAAAGGAAGGACATCACTGTCCACTGAGAAACTGAAGCAGGGAGACCTTTCACTGAAACTCTCTAGAGTCAAACACTCTGATAATGGCAGATATAGATGCTTTTTTCCCTCAGAGCACAAAGAATTTATCATTGAACTTCTTGTTGGTAAGTGGACATTTTTCATTACACTGTGAGATACAAATTGATGACAAATTAAAGGAAAAACTTTAACACACAGTAAAGTGATCCTTATAAATATGTCTCTTTATATGCCGTGGGGAGCATTTGGCTGTATAGTTACATGAAACTGTTGCAGTTAATATAAAGCTGTTTTAAGTAATCAACTTTATCCAGTCCAATCTTTGCTGGTTTTTTCCATTATTTTATCACACACCAGTCACTTTGTCCTTTACCAACTACAATGGTGCATGTATTGTTTGATTTTTGCATTATATGGCAGGAAATAAGAAAGTTGATCCTATGCAGGTTTTGAATATTTTTGAAAATAATTTATCTTAGTTTTCCATCTTCATCCTAATAGAGCTTTGTACACTATGACCTTGTGTGAAACTGGCAATAGCACCATGGCAGTTTCTTGAACTGTGACATTTTCTAGCAACAGTTCAACCTTTATTTTCCAGCTGGAAATAAACAATTTGCAGAAGTAAATTATTGTTAGAACATATAACTCTGCTCAGTACGCTTGGAGGGAACCTTTATCCAAACTGATTAAAACATTTTTATTGCTGATATAATTGACCAGAAACACTGTGCTCTGTAAAAACACATTCTTCTCTTTGGCATCCTCAGGCTCTCTTTCATTACCAACAATATCAGGAATCAACATAAACACCAGCAGGGTGGTGTTACAGTGTGAGTCTGCAGGCTGGTATCCAGAGCCTGAGCTGCTGTGGTTGGACGGTGAGGGAAACCTCCTCTCTGCTGGACCTGCAGAGACCCTCAGAGGTCCTGATGACCTCTATACTGTCAGCAGCAGAGTGACTGTGGAGAAGAGACACAGAAACAGCTTCACATGCAGAGTTCAGCAAAGGGATATGAAACAGAGCAGAGAGACACACATACATGTTTCAGGTAAATTGTATTTCTTTTAATCTTTAGAAATATAAATAAAAACAAAATTAGATTTTTTTTAAAATGCTATAGTTAATTGATTGCACTAAAAAGATCATTATCAAATCTTGAAACTGAAAAAAGATGTTTCCAAATGGACACAAGCGACAATATTTAAAAATCTCTATAATTTAAAAAGAACCCAGTGGAACATCTGACAGTGGATGTTTGGACATAATTGTTTGTTTTTTAAATACCAAAATACCTCCCTATGGAAGGGGTGTCTTTTTGTTTTGTTTTGTTTTTTCCACTCTGTGATCTGAAGACCCTATGTTATGTGTACCAGTTCAAGGATGACCCCAATCCAGAATGCTGAAGGCAGGAATCAAACTCGAACAGGTGTAGGGAAATCTGAAGAATATATAAAGTCCAAAACCAGAGAGTGGGTTAGGGAATACAGAACAAGAGAGCTCTGGGTAGGCCTGGAAGCATGGGGAATACAAAGCCTGGGAACACACAGCTAGCACGACACAACATTGAACAGATGGAGACAGACTGAACACTACAGACATACGGAGGTAGAGGGATGTGAAAATAACAACACAGAATACAGCAGTTACCAAAATAAAACTAAATATAGCTAAATGTGCAGACAAACATACAAAGACAAGACTGGATGAACAGAACGGGAACACAAAAAAGAATTTACTAAAGAAGCCCAAGGCTCTCCAAAATTTAACTTAACATGAAATAACAAAACCATACAGAAATTATATAATTATATAATGCATCAGGCAATAAACAAGACATGCATTACACGTAGGAAACTAGATAAACCATCACTGCATTAAAAATTGTTGTTAATCTGTAGTGAAAAGGATCAAGAAAAAAACACTTTTCTAGTCTATTTGAGCACTCAGAGCTCCTTTTACTACTAGGCTCATTCACCCAAACACACTTTCATACAAACAATTTTTTAAGATGCAGCAAAGCACTTTGTTTCACACTTGCACACACGCTCACACTCCTAATGGGTGGAGGCAAAAAGGACACTTTGACATGTAGACTGGAGTAGCCAGGGATTGAGCAACCAACACTGTGATTGGTAGACGACCCTCCTAAGTCTCAGTTGCCCCAATTTGTATGTTCATTAAGAATATGACAAATATATATTTTAATTTCAAATCTACAGGAAACCATCTCCTCTGATTCCATACACTTATACAATTGCTTCTGGCATCATTTTTATTAACTCAGATATGAAAGACAAGAAATGTTTTTTCTCTTATTTGATTTTTTAGACATTATTTATAGAGTCCCAGAATTTTGGGGAAACAGATTTTTGTATAAATGTAATTCCGTTGTCTTTTTCATTTCAGGTGATTGTGTTGCAGTTCCACATTTTCCTGCTGACCGTGTCAGCATTATCTTAGCAATTTGTTTCATATTAACTGCAGCAGCTATTTCTGTGTGGAAATGGAAACAAAACAGATCTAAAGGTATCTAACTCTGGTAACTCTTAACAATTTAATGTGAGTAAGCATTAGTGACCTTTACAGTGTACCTACTGTATCATGATAGATTCATTTAAAAAGCCCCTGATCCTAGATGCATGGCCCAGAATCTATAGCAATGAAATGTCAAAAAAATCTGTTTTGTTGAAGGGTAATTTCTAATATTCTTTATTTAATGTCCATAATCGTTCTTCAAACCATATTAGAAATGTTTTAATTAAATTATGTGGCACATTTTTTTCAGCCAATTTCAACAAAATAACTATTTATGCATTTACACAGAAAGAAAGAGGCAGAAAGTAGAAGAGCTGCTCATGGCAGAAAGCAAGAAGTCTGAAGAATTACAGAAGAAAGATGAAGAACTGAAAGACTTGGCGGAGCTGATTAATATACTGATGAAACAACAGATTGACCTGAAAGAAGTGAAAGATAAACTCGGAGATCAAAGCAATACATTTGCATCTGAGGTGGAGAACCTGGGCACGCAGTTTCTGGAAGTGGATAAGATCACAGAAAAGGACAGAGCAAGGGGATACATAGATCTGAAAAGCGTTATAACTAAAAGCAAACACGGATTACCACAGCAAAGACCAGCATATGGAGAGATGGAAACAAACATTGAAAAACATCTGATTAGCATGCAGCAAGCATGTAATAAAATGAGAAACATAAAAACAATAGCAGAGAAACAGAAGGAAAACATAATTTTGCAACTGTCAGAGATACAGAAACATAAAGAAACTATTCATAAGAAATCAAATTTAGAGTCAAACCAGGAAACCTTAAACATTTAAATACAACAACTACTTAAAAAAACAACTCAGGTGCTAAAACAAACACACACACATATTATAGATGTACTGTATATTAAATACATGAAGGGAAAGTTTGAGCTTTCTTTTTTTTCAGCTTGTTTGATTAAATCTCTAGCAAGAGCCATTTGCTCTTTTGGTGAAAAGGCTTAACTGAATAAAAAAAATGAATATCTTTTTGCATTTTTCTGATGACATTTTCTGAAGGCAGTTATTTATTTATTTAAAAACTGTGCTGTAATAGAGAAGAAATCAAAGTTATCATCTTGTCCAGATAAGATCTCATTTATTTCTGTGCTGCAGTTCAGCCATTCAGTCATGACTCGACACATAATGCACATCACATTACATCAAAAGGTTCTTCAAAAAATAAAACTATACATTTCATAAACACAACAAATAAAGTTACATACTATAAAGTATTCTGGCAACCGTCAGTGCTACCTCTGGGCCTTCTTGTTTATAAACGAGTAAGCTGCTGATAAAATGAAGAATAGCCTGTATCCCTTTATTGGGTGAGAAAATCATGACATATAATTTTCTTAGGTCAGATGGAAAAGATATCTGATCCTTAAATGGCTGAATGGGCCTAACAGAGCATGATACAGATGTATAACATGCTTAGAAAATACGATGTAATGCAGCAGATGAACTTATCACAAAATATATAAAGCGTATAAACAGCAATATGAAACAAACACATAGATAAAGCAAAAATATTTCATGTTTAACTGAAGAAACATAAAACTGAAGTTAATATGCTTGACGTTTATTTTCAGGGATATTTTGGTGCGAGTGCTTACACACTTTAACTTTTTGAATGTATACCTTTTCACTGCCCAGTGCTACTTTATTTATTTAACCATTGCTAATTATTTTAAACTTTTCTAACAGCCTTCATCAAGAAAGAGCAGTCTGTGTCTTCACCTCCGCTCTTCTATCTCTGAGCTGGCACTTCTTCCTCCTCCTCTTCCTCACACTGTTGAATTTGTCCTGGTGTATCATCAAGAGTAGAAAAACCTTGTGTCTGGGCACCTCTCGCCTTGATGGATTTCTCAGTCTCTCTTGACTCTGGACACACAATCCTAAGGCAAAGTAAACCAACCATGGCACTTAACAAAAAATAGCAAAAGTTACAGTGGTCCTGAGAGGCCAAAAGGAGTGCAACTTAAGAAAACACCATCAAATTAAAAACACCACAAAACACAACAGAAATCGAAAAAAGATTACAAAGAAAGAAAACAAATAGAAAAATGCAGCAAAAGCTAAAAGAATAAACAAATCAGTCACTAACTTGACAAAGCTGATGCGGAAGTGTGGTGGTGGATAATTTTTTTGCAAAAATGGCTGAATGCTCAAACAGCATGACGAAGAGTAATGTCAGGGTTCCTGGGTTGTGACCCAGTGTTTTCAGTTCATTCATGTTCACTGTTTATTTTCCACATGTTCTACTTCCTATGTGTCAGATTATGTTCAGCTGTGTTCTCATCGTCAGTCAGTCCGTCAAATAGAACTCACGTTCTACTTGCTTTAAAAGCCTTTAGAATGCACACCGTTCATGCTGTCTGAACACTGGCAGAAAGCTGTGGAGGACAGGAGGGCCATGATGCTCAGCTGAATATCACTTTTACGGTCCTCCACAAACATCAGGATCATTTACACTAATGATAATGTTAGTTCAGTTATTTTGCTGCCTAATCTGGTTATATCGGTGGTGCTAAAAGGACGTTTTTTATAAGGAGAAACAAGCAGAAAAATAGTAGTTTATTCGGATTAAACCTGTGTTCTAATCCTGCATCTTAGCACACATGTGATTTCCATGTGTAAAAACTGCAAGTGTCCAGAGTCAAGACAGACTGAGAAATCCACTGCTGCATGATGTTATCTTATAGATATATTTCTCTTTTACTTTTATTATAAAAAGAAGTTTTATTTTTATTTATTGCATCTAGAGGGCAGGTGACCTCTAAAGGGCCTCTAAATTGGAACTCTAAATTGCATTCTATATATATTCTAATGTCTTAAGCCACAGTTATATCTGTCACATTGCATGTCTACTTCAGGTTAAGCGAACATCCAACGGTTATATTCACAATAACCACAGTATCTACCAGCATATAAAGTAAAACTGTATTGTGGTATAACTGCTAAACTATAATAAACCACTACCTTAAAAAACAAAAATTGAAGCTCTAATAGGAAGGCAAAAATAAGTTTGAAATGTTGAAACATTTTAAGAATAGTAATTCTAAATGTTTGTTGCTTTTCAAGGTTTCTTTTTTGTTTGTTTTAGTCTTGATATGTCATAAATTCATGAATATATCTGACAAATATGCTGTTTTCTATATTCCATTGTATAAACTGAATCTGAAAATGTATTTTTATTATGTTTCTAATTAATACATGTACATGTCTTCTAAATGTATAATTAATAGATCCACATAATACAGGTACAAATAAAGAGACACATGGGCTAAAAAATAAGTTTATACAGGACAGTGTATTACATGCCCAATATAAGAAAACTGGCCATAGAAGTTACAAAAAGTTATGCAACTGCTCTTCCAGAAGTCACATGTATTGTAACTGAAGTCAACGAGTCAAACATAAATGCAGCTGCCAGTATAATATATGAAGATAACACCTAATAACACCTATAGCAATTAACATAATAAAAATGGCTCTTTGCTGTAGTTAAATAGCACTAAAAGTTGACCTTTGCAAATTGGGTTTACTATAATATTCACTTATTATTTATTGGACTCTGTTAAGTGCATGCCCTGCCTTTTGTATGCAACAGATTTTAAAATTAAAAACAAATGCTAAATAATTATCGAATACCTTTTAACTAAAACACACATGTTTTGATACGGTGGAATTTTAGATAAACTTAATCTTTAATCACTTCTTTCCTATTTCTTTTTTTTTTCCATGTCAGACATCTGCCAGTAAACATGTTCAACTCAAACTCATCTGTATTGAGAGCTGAGTTGTAAGTGTTGTAAGATGCACGTAGCTCTTACTTCTAAGCTGGTGGCTTAAGAGCAACCAATCTTGAATAGATGAAAGTAAATGCTAAAGCAACATGAAAAGCATGAAAATCAGAAATCTATTCAACCATCACTTGGATGGATCATTTCAGAGTGGTTTAGAAGCGCATCATAGTGCAGAATCAGCACTTTTAATCATGTTCAGTGATCTTTTATTAATTGTAGATTCCTACTTCAAAGGTGATCTTGACCCTCTGAAAAACACATTTGGTATTAAGCGTGGTTTTTGACAATATCTTTACATTTAAGAAAGAAAATGCTGATGTCAGAGCTAGTTTTTACCCACTGAGGCTCTTAGGATAAAACATAAAATCCAAATCCAAATGCCTGTGCATTTGGATTTGATTGTAATATTTTATTTGTTTCAGTCATTAAATTGCTTCTGGTTGTACCAAGAAGTTAAAGAAGAGAGGAATTTGTATCTTTGTTCTAGCTTCCCGTAAACTTTGGAACAGCCTGGCCTCCTATTAGGACCTCACCAACACTCAGTAACACTTTTCAAAACCTGTTTCAACACTAATTTTCATGCCTTGGCATTCATTCTAGACTGAGCCTTCACATTTCTTTTTAGTTTTTTCTTGTGGTTATGTGTATTGTGTTTTTATTATTGCTTTCATGATATAGTTGAACAGTATTTTGGTCAGTATTGTTTTTTTTGTGCTTATAAATGAACTGACTTGACTTGGCACTGGATATTTGAATTTAATGTAATTTGTTTTATTCATTGTCAATTCATAACAATCATCATCTGGAGGAGCTTTCTTACTAATTCCACTTCCCAGCAAGTGGGGCACACCCTGAATAGGTTCGTGTCTATTTCAACACTAATATAATGCTCTTTGTGTCCCATTGTCAGTCAACAATCAAGCAAATCAAAAATATAAATATATGTCAAATACAGAACACTATAAATTATGATATCATGATTATTATCATATTTTAAGATATATATTTTCTATAAGTTATAGAAAAATATATAGTTTTCCTATATGGTTTTCCTAAATAAAGTAACAATAATAATAATAATAATAATAATAAAATGTAAAATGAGTACCTCATTTCTTTTTCTGTTTTGTCTCATTGTTGTAGGTATCCATTTGTAGATGAGTTACCTGAACATTTTCATACACTGAAACAGATAAAAAAGTTTTGAAATAAGTAGTATGTGGTGACAGAAAGATAACTTACTCATTAGTCTATTTGAAAGACATTCTCACATAAAAACACTCACTCTTGGTGATACTGTGTTACAGCTTCCTAATTTTACAATTAGTTCACTGAGACTCAAAACTTCGCAGGAGAGATGAGTGTAAGATTAATAAAATAAACATAAACACTCTTACAAACACTTTTACAATACTCACCAAAAAGACTCAAAAACAACACAAACTTCCACAAATCTACTACAAACTGGACCTTGGAACAATATGCTTATTCGCACACCTCAGTCACATGGTCACTGAGCACATATACATTATGCTATATTTGCAAATTTTACACCTTGCACATGTCTTTGGCTTGTCTTCTCTACTAAAACCTGACCATAACCTGAACCTGGTATTCAATACCTACTGCACAATCATCTCACTTTACTGCAATTGCACATGACCACTTTTTATTGTTTGGGTTTCCACCGGCGTGGAATTACCAAAAATAGAGAGGGCATAGCCTAATATATGAAACAAGAAAATACCGCCATGTAATCCCTTTATTTCAACAAAGTAACTGTATTCTGAATACCACCTTTTTAAACTGAATAGATTTACTCATATTTTGTATTTTAAATACGTAACGTAATGTATTCCCCAACACTGTCTATTTTTTATATTCTCATAAATGCAAAATGGGGGGTTTGTGGTGAAACGGCATTTTGGTACGCTGTATACTGTGTATATTGTTGTATTTACAATAAAGACCTTGAATCTTGAATTTATAAACTACTCACCTGTTACTGACATGACAGCGTAAGAGCTTGCTACTAGGTGGAACAAAATAAAATAAAAAGAAGAACAATAAATAAAAAGTTAAAGAACAAACAGGTAATCTTACATTAATAAACATCCATTTAATAATTCCAAAAATTATTTCTCTTTCTGCCTTGTTTTGCTACTGAACATATTAATCTATTGTTATTATAAGTGCTTTACTGCACATCAAAACTGAGCAAAAGACTTCTTCTGATATCTACCTCGATGAACATCATATGAGTTAAATTGTATTATTTAATTTTCTGTTCACCTTAAATTACTGGCACAATAAATAAGTAAATGCACAAATATAGAAAGAAAGAAACCTGTGTGTTTCTGGCAGTAATGTAGTCCAGCCACTATTATCACATCCACAGCCAAAATGATCAACATAGCAGGCATGATGGAGAGTCCAGTGGACCTGGATGGAGAGCTCTTCTGTTCAGTCTCTTGATCATCTTGAGGTATTGTCTCCTGAGGTGTGGGAGCAACATGTGCTGCTAACACAATAAATATACAATATTGTATTTTGTTAATTTTTGTTAAGTATTTCAAGATGATGAAATGGATAACAATCTAATCTATATTCCCTTGACGTGAGTGAAGACAGTGTTAGTTTCTCACTAGATCAACTAAATCAATAACTCAAAAAAAAACTGCAATGACCTTTTGCACAGTCATGGTCAGCAGACGATTCATTCTAATAATTCTGGAGATAGGATTGTGACGCTGAAAAACTTGTTCATGCATTTATTACTTCTATGCTGGAGTAATTCATTATTATCAAGATGTCCTTAAAAAATCCTCATTAGAGCGTTTCCCTCTCGGACTAAAGGCTTACTTGTTGTTCCTAGAGTATTTAAAAGTAGAACAGGAGGGAGAGCCTTCAGTTTTCAGTCCCCTATTTTGTGGAACCAACTTCCAGTTTAGGTTGGGGAGACAGCCTCTCTACTTTTAAGATTAGACTTAAGATTTGGGCTGGATCAGTTGCTCCTGAATCCACCTTTATTTACAATACAATAGGTCTACACTACTGGGGGATTCCCATGATGCATTGAGTATTTCTTCTTTACTCACCTTTTCCACCCTCTATGTGCTAAATACACCTTTCTTCGAGTTAACTAATGTAACCAGGACAATGTTATCTAACTTATGTTAAAAAATAATAATAATGATGAAATATTATCTCCACTTACTCAATCATAATCTATGCTAAATCTGAACATTATATAGTAGGACATGAAAGAGTGAAAATTATAATTATGGTTGAAGGCTGATGTTGATGTTGCACAAAGCAACACTGTGCCTTACAAAACTAGAGCTTTACAAACCCCAAAGTGTGGCTTTATTCTTGAATAAAATTCAGTTCAAGCATTTCCTTAGTATGCCTGATATTTTATATTCTTACATGCAAGCAGAGACTGCAGAGACCTGTTTTAAAACTTTAATTTTCTTCTAGCACCACTACACAAAGTTTAGAATATAGCAAAGAGACTATTGCGTGTATATTTGTGCATTGCATTTGCTCAAATGCAGAACTGTATAGTTTATTTGAAAATATTATGCATCCATTGTGCTAAAAAAAATGTCATAGCTCACCTGTCACAGCCATCCAACTCTCTGGTGATTTCCCTTGAGATTCAGAAAAGCTGCACTTGTACAGTCCTTCATTAGACTTGGAAACATGGGGAATGGTTATCTTTCCTGCATATCCAGTTTCCAAGTAGTGACCGTCCTTGTAAAAATCAGCTGGAAGATTTGAAGGCATTCCTTTTTTTCTACAGCCCAAAGTGACAAAATCTCCCTCCATAAAAGGAAAGCGGAATCTCCAGGATCACATCTCCTCCTCAAAAACAAGAAGATTTATAATAAAAATGAATACATTGACATCCCCCTGACTAAAGTTAAGATGGCTGTAAAAACACATTTAACTCAAGTCCATCTTGATTTTTGAGTCTTAGTAGCATGTTGAAATTTTGGAAAAATGTGAAGTTAGTGGTTAGTAAACATACCAGTGATGGTGATGCTGACAGTCATGCTTTTCTCTCCATCTTCATTTTCACACCAGTATTCTCCACCGTGTGACTTAAAGGCAGGTTTAATGTACAAGAATTTTTTTGATGTTTCCCACTGAGTAGAATTTAAGCCAAGCTTTTTGATCACTCTCCATTCTGCTGGGCCATGAAACCCCGAGCAGTTTAATGAGATGGAGTCATATTCAAAGAACTGCAGTCTATTTGGATGAACATGAAGATAAGCTCCTTCTGCTGCACACACACAAAAATAAGTAAATGGATAAAATTAAATTAAAAATGACTAGATGAAGAGATTGATATCTACTCTTCAAAAAAAGTGAATTTAATAGGGACCACCCACTTGCAAGTACAGTACAATAAAAGTACAATATACTTTTTTTCCAAATCATTTTCTTAGGAAATAGAAAGATAAGCCATGTCTAGTATTTGTAATTGTTATATACACTAACCGGTCACTTTATTAGGGACATATGTTCAACTGCTCTTTAACAAAATGGCTAATCAGTCAAATCAACAATTAGAATAGAAAACAAAATGATCTGAGAGACTGTGGCATGGTGCCAAATGGGTTGTTGTGAGTCACAGATTTATCATAGATAGACATTTTTTCAAGCACCCCTTGATTTCATGATAACACCCTTAAAGTAACAATACAAATAGTATAATAGCAATTTATGTTGGTATTGTTTTTCTGACCGCTACATTTTCCCAGCTTGAAGGGAGTAAAGGTTGGAATGAAAATCGGGTTTAATGTGCAGTGTCATGATGGCACTCACACCGAGGCATCACTGATTCAACAACAGGTTTGTCATTACATTCAACCAGGCACAAGCAAAGTGTACCTAATAAAGTGACCAGTAAGTGTATTCTTACAGACATTTGTCGCTGTTAACAAAAGTTTGTCTTACATTCTTTAGCATACATACAGTATTTCTGGTCTTGAGCTATAAGCAGCAACAGCATTTTCACCACTGTAGAGACAAAAAAATTACACATTACAGATGTCTTTATATGTAAGACATGGAATCTCAACAGCAAAAAATACTAATACTACTGCTGCTAATAATAATAGCAATAATACTAGTCTGGTTTTTATATACTTTTAGTTCAGTGTCCAGCTGACAGCGATCAGCAGAAGCAATTTAAAGTTACCAAATGATCTGGTTTCTTTAAGGCAACAGAATTAACACTTACATCATATAAAATCTTATTAATCACTCAGTTTAAATTCACATGCACTGTGCTTTATAAATAAATGTGACTTCTGAAAAAAGCATTAACAAACCGCTTAATAGACACACACATCCATGGATTTTATTTGAATGTTGATTCAGATGCAAATGAGGATCAGTACTCACTCAGTTTGATGCAGAGCTCCATATTGTACCTCAAATGGGCCTCACCATTTAACTGAATACAAGTAAAACGTGACAGGGTAGTACTTCCTTTTTCTGTGCAGCATAGAAGCCACAGCTACGTGTGGGGGATTTTGTTTTTTGTCAACCTATCTCTTTAACTGTCAGAAGGAAGAGCCACTGTTACTGCACACAAGACATACAACAACAACAATCTTTATTTATAGAGCACATTTAAAAACCAGCGGTATACCAAAGTGCTTAACATTAGAGACAGAGCAGTAACATGAGTATTATAAGGCCTTAGCAAAGTATCAAATATGCTCACAGGTCAATACCACTAATACACAGGGATAATATAAAATGCATATTAAAATAAAACATAATAAAAGCACAAGCCATAAAAATATGTATAAGGAAAAATAGAGTAAGTCTAAGAGTCAGGTGCGAGCATTAACAAGCAGGAAAGGCGAGATTAAATAAATAGGTTTTTAACTGCGATTTAAAAGATTGAATGGAATCGGACATCCGGATCACAATAGGAAGGTTATTCCACAACTCTGGTTAGCCAGGGCAAACACCCGGTCACCTCTAGACTTCAGCTGAGATCTAAGCTGCACCAAGAGTAACTGAGTAGATGATCTTAATGCTCTGGCAGGAACATACGATTTAAGGAGTTCCTTAAGGTGGCTCGGTGCTGTGTTGTTGGTAATTTTAAACGTAAGCAGCAGTATTTTAAATTGGATGCGGTATTTTATGGGTAGCCAATGCAGGTCAGCTAGAACAGGAGTGATACAGGCAAACTTCCCAGTTCTGGTCAGAATGCGTGCTGCAGCATTTTGGACTGTCTGCAGTCTATGAAGGAGGGCAGAATGAAGACCAAAATAAAGTGAGTTGCAGTAATCCAGCCTTGAGGTCACAAAGGCGTGGATGAGCTTTTCCAGGTCCTTATGCAGAACATACTGCCTAGCCTTAGAGATGAGACGGAGTTGGTAGAAACTAGATCTAACTACAGCAGACACTTGTTTATCGAGTTTGAACGAGCTGTCAAGCAACACGCCCAGATTGCTAACAGTGTCAGAAAGGGAGCTGGTAAGGGAACCAAAGGCATCACGAAGTTAGCCACGAGGAATGTTGCTGCCAAATACCACGATTTCAGTTTTCTTATCATTTAGGATAAGAGAGTTTGCTAGGAGCCATTCTTTGACCTCGCGCATGCACTCCACAACGCGGCAAATCTCCGTTAACGAGCTACCGCGGATCGCCCCGTGCGTGGGGCTGGACAGCGTCAACACGTTAACGAGCAAACTGTGCTAACGCACTAGTTCCCACCAATGTAATTGAGCATCGCGTGGCACATCTGATATACTGTTTCACTTTTTTCCATGACGCGCTTACCTTCAGGGTCATACGTCACATGAAACCAAAATAGTTCCAAACGCCAGATCTGAATGAGGGTGGGGGAGGTTCAATTTCGGGTAGCGTTGAGGCAGTTGCCATGTTGCAACGAGCTTAACTTCTGTCTTGCTAGCTTGCGCTGCGCTCAGTGGATCTGCGCTCGACAGTGCAGGCTAGGCGGAGTAGTCGAACGCAGATCCACTGAGCTCTCAACACAGA